ATATATATATATATATATATATATATATATATATATATATATATATATATATATCTTTAGTTCCTTCAGGACATATAGTGCCTCACTTCCTTTGGCAAGTCCAGCATTTTCTCAGCAGGGTTATTTTGTGACTTGACCTTTGACCTTAGTTATCCATCTGATAGATAAGAGGAAAGGTACAGGTAGATACTAAAGCGGGTATGTGTTGCCTTACAAGGTAGATGCTTTGTTTTCAAGCAAGGGGGTGGGGTGGGGCTCTTTTGCAAACCCAGAGTGTTCTGAGTGATGTGGGATTTTAAGGTTTTTAAGTGCATCAACCAACCCAGACGCCCCATCCAAAATGTCAGAATCCCACTTCTTCCAACCATGGCCCTGACCTTGGCACAGCAGACTTGCCAGAGCTGAGAATATAACCTTTTTTTGGAGTTCTACTGCTCTTACAATTAAGTCATGGGTTTGATCCTCACTTTTCTGCCCTCCCCTCCATTTACATATGCCACTAAGGAGGCACTCTAGCTTTCATCTTTAGCCTTTAATTGGTGATTAATCACCTCAATTTTTCATTGTCTTTCTCCAAAGCATAGATTTACTCCATCAATAGCTATCCAAGCCCACAGTTCTTGAGTTGCCTTTTCCCCTATATTTTAAAAATGCTTGATAGAGCCTCTACCAGTATATTCTTGCACCAGTGTTATGTCCTACTCACCTATCCCATCACTGCTGCTGAAAGTTTGTTTTTTTGTTTTTTGTTTTTTAAGATTTTACTGGGGAATCGGGGAAGGGGAATAGACAAGTTGCTGCCCTTTTGTTCTTCAGTCTAGTTGTGGAAGATGTCGCTTCACTGGCCCATGTTGGTATTATCTCCCAGATGAGGCAGTTGCTCACCGGTCATTGGACGGCCACTCACGCTGGCTGCCGGACACTCATGGTAGCTCACAGCAGCAGGGGCTGCAGCCTACACCGTTGCCGGCCACTCACAGAAGCCTAGCTCCAGGTTGAGCTGTTGTTCACCTTCTTAGCTGTAGAGGGCGCAGCATCACTGGCCCAAATGTGGGATCTGAACCGGGGCCCTGCTGCTCAGAGCTGGTGTCCCAAGCCAACTTTTAACCAACGCACCACTCGGCGGGCCCCCCTGAAAGTTTTAATAGTTGTTTGCTCCAGCATGCCAGCCAGGGCCTATCAGGGCTTCACCTGGGTGGGTGGGTGGGTGGGGTGGGGGTGTCTCGCTGCCAGCTGGCCAGCAGGTGATTCAGCACTGGATCAGACTACACTCATGGGACTAATTGGTTTGATTCAGATTCCCTGGAAAACCAACTCTGAGATGGAGGTTTGCAAGAAGGAAAATTGATTAGGTAACACCCTTGGGGTCAATGCTGTGCGGGAGTGAAAGGAGTAGGACTGAGCAGAAAGAGAAGTTGAACTAAATGCAGTGACAGCAAAGACCTCAGCTGATCCCTTAGGACCTGATCCCTTAAGGAAAAGCCCTTCAGGTTGGTCCCACCTTGAGGCCTGCATCTACCAGTCATTTGTGCACGCTCTCCTGGGGCATGGAGACATGGCTCCAGGTAGCTCTCTTGCTGAGGGCAATTCCTGGAAAGGGATTCAGTTGAGAGCTCTTGGCCACTGACATTCCCAGCAGCTGGCGAAGTGGGCACCTCAGTCTTGAGGAGTTGTATTCTCCTTCCTATGCTGGAGGAGGGAAGAGTGGGTAATATAGAGGAATGCTACCAGAACAAGATGAAGAAAAAATTGGCAGATAGTTGCATGACCAAAAAACAGATAATGAATGAGAGAGGTGCATTTTAAAACTACATCAAACACTAGTCCTTCCCCTGAACACTCTTGTGTTAGACAGTGAAGAATGGGGGATGTTAAGATGCAAATCCAATTCCATGCTACTCAGAAACACTGCATGTCTTTCCATTAGGCCAGAGGTAGTCCAAGTGGTGCTCCATGGGCTAAATTCAGGTAGCAAATGCATTTTGTTTGGCTACAATGTTTTTTAAAAAAATGCAAATTGGCTTCCACTATGTAAAAATTGGAAGAGTTTAAATGCAAATTCAGATCTCCAGCTTCTGTTGAATAGGAGAAGATCCAGCAACACTGTGTCAATATTCCTGCATGGCAATAATTGACTAGAGTTGAGTGACAGTTGTCCCTTGAAATGGGGGGGGATGTGCTCTTTAGTTCACCAGAGTCTCTATGCATTACCTTCTTTGGCATTTTTGGTTAGAATTCCTGCTATACCTTGCACTGCCTGATAAAGTGCATGTTATGTATCAGGGGTCAGCAAACTGCGGCTCAAGAGCCACGTGCAGCTCTTTGGGTACATACATGTGGCTCTGAAGTAAAATTGAAAATAAAAATGAAACTATCATAGTTTCATTTATAAAAATTTTAGAGGATATTATTCACATAATGGTGATTCCATTTGTTTTATGGCTCTCGAATAATTTTTAAATTGTTGTGAGGGACAGGATTGGCTCTTCCGTCTCAAAAGTTTGCCGACCCCTGTTATTTATAATAGGAGTTTGGGCACTGAATATTGGTTCAGTGAACCTGAATGGATCTAATTAGAGAGGAAGCTGGAGTGAAGTCTAGATCTTCAAATGTAATGGGAGGCTTGGTACTTGGGAGGCAAGTGCAGATTAGGATGGATGAATAACGTGCTGGCTGGAGCGTGAGTAAAGCTGGAATTGCTGAGAGCTAAGGCCTGAAGTTTGGATGTCTTACCTTAGAGTTAGAGAGGAATGTGGAATCAGAGAAGAAGCCAGAGAAGGAAGAGAAGCACAGAGGGGCCTCAGCCATGGAGCACCACTGGAGTCAAAGGAGCAGAGGGTTTAGGCAGCTGCATCCAGTCTAGCGAAGAAGATGAGGTATTCCCCACTTCTTCCCCAGGCAAAAAGCCATGGAAATAGAAAAGTAATTAGGGACTTTCAGAGGAAGTATGAGAAAAAGAAAGATTGGGGGTCTGGAAGTTTAGCAGTCAAGTAGAGACAATGAGATGCCCTCTGGGGTATGACAGAGAGCTTTTCTCAGGGGTCCTAGTTGGGGAAGGCATAGATGACCATTTATCTAATATTCATCCTTTTCTGCAGCATTGTCATCATTTCTGACATCATCTAAAAGAAATTAGTATTCATATTGCATCCTTAAAGAATGGACTAAAGAACTATCCAGACTCTGTCCTCTTGTTCTAGTGGAATGAAATATTAATTTAATATGTATTTTGGACCATCACCAGCCAGCAGAAACTTCTCTTGTGGATAGATCTCTCTGCACACGGATTATTGGCTTTTGGGATTTTCTGTGGTACAATTAAAATTCTAGCTTTGCTTTGCCTTGTCACTCAGTATCCTTCTATGTGGCTTAACTGGCTGTTAATTAGTGTGTGCTAAGAATGTGTCAACTCACTTTAACATTAGTCTAAGTAAAGTATATTGAAGAAGATAAACTTAAAAATAACTCACTCCAAAGTTAATGTTGGAAATAAATAGATCATCCATTGTTTTGGATGTAATCCTCTTCCTGGAAAACTGTCGTGACCAATTCCACATGAAATCATTTCAAATCTGGTGTTAGGAGTATAGGGAACACCTTTGTTTCAGGACAGCTACAGTCTGTTTTCATTCTCCTTGGAATCACACCAGCTGGGTTTGCATCCTGAGGCTGCCACCTACCAACTCTGTGATTTCTGGCCAATCCAGGAACCTCTTGTGACCTCACCTCATCAGTTAGATGAGGGTGATACCTATTGGAAAGGTTCGTTGAAAGATTTAAATGGGACAATTAATGTGTTGAATTAATGCATGCGAAACCCTTAAAGGCTTTTTGAGGGTGGTGAAACTTGAATCTTTCTATTAACAACTCTGTAAAAGTTTTATTAAGTTGTGTGTCTATCAGTTCAGCAGAGGAAGTCTGCACTGGGATTCTGGCGTCTGAGTACTTTGACTGCCATTAGGTCTAGCATTGGGATTTAAGAGACCGTTAAAAAAAAAAATCACTGAACCTCTATTGCCTTTTTCCTGTTTCTCAGCAGTCTCTAGCAGCTACAAAAGACCTGGAAGCCTGAGGTGGTGTGCCTTATTTTCTGTGTGCGAGTTTTAAGGCAAAAGAGAGGCTCAGCACAGCCTCCCGCAGATCAGCCTCAGAGATCTGCGTGCTGGGAGAAACGTTAGCCTCAGGGCGCCCTAACTTCCAACCCCGGGAGCCATCCAAACCCGGAGGCCGGCGGGGGAGGGGGAGCCTGCTGTGGCGTTGGGGATGGGAGCGGATGCTCCCGGGTCAGGTCAGACTTTCTCCGGCTGAACCCGGAGCCAGGGGCTAGGCGAGCCCCGCGGCGAACAGGGACCCGCGCCTCGGTGCCCGGAGGAGTCAGGTGACGTCACCTCCAGGACGACTCGCTTTTTCATTAATGAAACGGGCCGGCGCGGGCGCATGCGCGGCAGGCCCCCTTTCCTCTCGCTTCCCCCTCCCCTTTCCCAGCCGCGCTCTCAATCTCAAGCTCGCTGGCTCTCCCTCTCCCCGGGCCGTGGAAAGGATCCCACTTCCGGTGGGGTGTCATGGCGGCGTCTCGGGCTGTGATGGCTGTGGGAAGACGGCGCTAGTGGGGAGAGCGATCAAGAGGCCCCCTCCCCTCCCCGGGTCCCCCTCC